CCTTAGGGGTTTTGGTACGCAACACACCTTCTCCCCAAGATGTGTAAGTATACGAAGTTTGGTCGCGCTAGGTCAATTAGGGGCCGAGTTATAGAGCGGAATGGAAATATGATCAAGGTCAAGGTCAAGGTCAAATAAAAGCTGCAGTGACGTGGTTTTGGGACGCAACACACATTCTCCCCAAGATGTGTAAGTATACCAAGTTTGGTAGCGCTATGTAAATTAGAGGTCGAGTTATAGAGCAGAAGGGAAATATGATCAAGGTCAATGTCAAGGTCAAATAAAGGTCGCAGTGACCTGGTTTTGGTACGCGACACACATTCTCCCCAAGATGTGTAAGTATACCAAGTTTGGTAGCGCTAGGTAAATTAGAGGCCGAGTTATAGAGCAGAAGAGAAATATGATCAAGGTCAATGTCAAGGTTAAATAAAGGTCGCAGTGACCTGGTTTTGGTACGCGACACACCTTCACCCCAAGATGTGTAAGTATACCAAGGTTGGTAGCGTTAGGTCAATTAGAGGCCAAGTTATAGAGCGGAAGGGAAATATGATCAAGGTCAAGGTAAAGGTCAAACAAAAGTCGTAGTGACCTGGTTTTGGTACGCTGCGCACCTTCTCCCCAAGATGTGTAAGTATACCAAGTTTGGTAGCACTAGGTCAATTAGGGGCCGAGTTATAGAGCGGAAGGGAAATATGATCAAGGTCAATGTCAAGGTCAAATAAAGGTCGCAGTGACCTGGTTTTGGTACGTGACATACCTTCTCCCCAAGATGTGTAAGTATACCAAGTTTGGTAGCGCTAGGTAAATTAGGGGCCGAGCTATAGAGCGGAAAGGAAATATGATCAAGGTCAAGGTAAAGGTCAAATAAAGGTCATAGTGACCTGGTTTTGGTACGCTGCACACCTTCTCCACAAGATGTGTAAGTAGACTATGTTTGGTCATGCTAGGTCAATTCGGGGTCGAGTTATAGAGCGGAAAGAAGTGTCTGCGGCGGCGGCGGAGGCGGCGGTTGGACAGACATGAAACCATAGTATCCCCGCCGACTTCGTCGCAGGGGATACAATGATATAACAGGCAATTGTGATTTTAGCAAACAGGTACAATTGTGGAATGATTTAATAAAATAGTTAAATTGTGGAATGGTTTGTAATCTGTTATAGTACTTAGAACAGTAGAAATCTTACCTCTACATTTAGATTGTAACCACTCGATCTATCCTAATTCTAGACATCATTATGCAACACGATTCAATCTTGATTCAATCAAAACTTAACAGTTATGAGTTTCGTTATTATGTACACAATTACTTTTCACACATCACATAACAACACCCAGCGCATCCATTACACACACCTCCCCCATGAAAAGAAAACATTTCAGAACCTTTGCCGTTAGCTTGACATCGGGTGGGAAGACCCAAAGCAACCTGGAAGCAAGACTCAGAGGCTGAACTTAGAAAGAAGGGCTACACCTGTAGGGAAATTGAGTGGAAGGCAATCAACCGAGCAACATGGAGGAAGTTCACGAATGACCTGTGTCTCCCGGGAGACTGGAGGGTCTAAGAAGAAGAAGCCGTTAGCTTGCAATGCATACGCACCTCAAAGCTTAGATGCAGTCTCTCTCTGCGGAAGCTGAGTCTGCGCTTTTCCCAGAATTGCTCTGGCTTCACAATCAGCACGTTGTGCAATCGATGAGGGAGACACTCCTGTTGTTAGAAAGGTAGTTAGCCCACGACTCCACGAGAGACAGAAAATAGTACCTGACCTATTTGTTTATGTGAAATAACACGCCCTAGAACTACTAGGCCAGTCAAGCTCAAGTTCATACTATGTTACTTAGTTTTTCATGCGTGCACTTCGTTTGCGTGTGCATTCCTTTATGGCACTTTATTACTACGCATTGTTTTTAGAATACCCCTATCATAACGTAGAATGATAAGAACCACCTGTCAATCACTCCAGCTAAACAGGTCAATTATACAAAGTAGTATTATTTCGAAATAATAAGCAAAATAAAATATTTTAAAAAGGATCAGTCAAGGTCAAGTAAATTAGTGAAGCCAGAAAATCATAATGTTGAGTAACTATAATATAATCTGTTATGGTGTACAACACTAACAACATTAGGTACCAGACAAACAACTATACACATGTCACTAAATACTCTCAATAACAACAATATGTATGGCATCTCACTATAAATTGTTTTCTATCGCTATTTTAAAAACACCACAGTGTGAATAAAATAAAATAACTATGTTGCATACTTTGTCAAATATTTAGTAATATCATTCTTCCTACCTCTAATACTTCTAATAGAGGCTTGATCGCACGAAATGATGAATTTCGCATGTCAATTATGGCTGTGAACCCTGACTCTTTCGATTCTTTCCTATAATAAAAAGCAAGAAGATATAAATGTGTTGCATCACATGGAAATAACTACCATAATAAGTCATGGCATTATTACCACCATTGATCCTCTTCCCTACTATTCTCTCAAAATATCAACGAAGATCCAACCTCATTTTAAACAACGAAACTGGAAGGACTGTTTCGAGTTAGCAATGAGAAATTTCATGTACTGACCAGGGAATCGTGGAAAGATATGTAACAGCCGTTGCAATTTCATGATCCAAGATGCTCAAGTCCAGTCCATCAGGTTGTGCAGGAAACGTCAGCACTGGCCCTCCATACCTGTCTCTGCCACCTTAATTTCGCAAATTATATTCACACACGAATATTATACATTCATACATTCTTATCAAATGCAAAAACATTAACTACAGTCTGTAGAAGCGAAAAATAATGTCATTATATATATAACAATAGTTTGAATTAACGGAATTCATAGTGCACAAGATCATGACGTTTCCTAAATTCCTATAAATCATTATAATTCCACAGCATAACCTCCTTTCTAATTTACACATAAATAATGTGTTTTCGTAAGCATCAACACCTGATGCTACTTCTAGGCTCTTAAAATGCAATTTCATTGCAACTATTTTTTTAACCACATCCATAAGATTTGTGAATACTGAATAGGTCAAACACTATCCCATATATCCTTATTGTTCTAGTAATTAATCTATTATTCTAAACAAAAACCGTTATTTTAGAATATTTACTTTGTATTAGACTATTAGTGCATACATTATAGTGTTAAGTACTGTGGAAATATGTGCATAATTACATATATAATATATATAAGTATCACACATAATATATGACAATAATTCATTACTTATGCACTCTTACATCGATTTCCTTAAATAAATCTATGATATTATTTAAATTTTACTATTCTTTAATATACTTGTAAGTTGTATGTAGATTCGTTGTAACTCATAGCTGTTATCTACATTAGACATCTATAGCTCCATTTACTGGGCCACAGACCGCTTCCGTTAACGGAGTTTGAAGTGTATGTTATAAATAATTCATGCAGTTGAATAATGTTTAAGTCATACAGACATTTGTAACGGATGTGTTGCTGAATATTTACTGACAGTGCTGTCGCATGGTCAAATTCAATCATGCAACGGCAGAGAGTTATTTATTAATAGCGCCTTACATGCCATCTCACATTGATAGAACCACAGTAACGTATAACACTGATCTTGAGATATGGAAAGCATTTACAAATGTGAAAAGGAATAAGATAGATATCTAGATAAACGTGTTTTCGAGAAATTCATACATGCTCCCAAAAATGGGCCATCAATCATGCAAAGTTGCAAACATTATTATTAGCTGGTCAACTGTCTAGTAAATGTCTGATAGACGCATATATTCTAGTTGGCATATCGTACGCAGGACTAAATTACAGCTCTAACGAATTTGCCGAGGCGTCCGCAGCGATGTGCGACTAGTAGAACAGGATCCACCTCAGCCCTGGGCCACCGGTGACATTGGTTAACCGCTGTGCTCTGCAGTGTTTAGCCGAGTCCTATATAGCGCCAAGCTGGGACATCGCCACGCCTCACACCATGCAAATTGCTCCCAATTTCAAACCAGAACGCATAAACGCTTAATTGCCTACAGGATGCGATTTTTCGCAACGCTGGCATCAATAATAATCATTGTTACAACATTCGTATCTATTTCCTCCAAGTCCCAGAGCAAAATAGTACGTATACCTGTGTTTGAATTTGGAGTTAGAACGTGTCGACTTTACAGCGAAGTTGTAACCGGCTTTGTTTAATTTTTGCTCAGTATTGATATTGAATCAGTTTCAATCCTTATTCGAATTTTTGCCAATAAATCTCTCGTTCAATGTTGCTTTTATGACAGCGCTTACACGACTGTATGTGCTGCGCTACTCTACGTGAATTGCCACACGCGTACAGATTTGCATCAAGAATAAACACTTTCGACAGAAAACACAGCAGAGGACCCGTTTGAAAAGGGACCTATCATCACACATAATTGACTGTTTGGGTCTTCACCACCGGCTACAGAAATTTCCTCCAATTCACACACCAGTGTACGCGCTTATAGATAAGTATATATATAGGGTGAGCTCCGCGTCCAACGACGTGATTAATGCTTTTTGCAGAAAACGAGTTTATTTTACCTGACAGGTAGACGTAGTTCTTCTTCAACACTTCTATGATAGAATCTGCATACATCGGCTGACCTGCAATACAGTAAACAGGCTATATAACTAGAACGAAAAATATTCTAGATGGCAATCACTGCACGTGCGTAATACCACTACTCAGTACTCACACAGATTCGTACATTCGTATATCATAAATGTATAGCCTCGTCTACACGACGACGCTTAACTCGAGTTAAGCTAACTCGAGTTAGCGATTATGTAGCGTCTACACGACGAACCTCAACTCGAGTTAAGCTAACTCGAGTTAGCGATTATGTAGCGTCTACACGACAACACCCGATAGCGATTATTACCGATTTATTATGCATGCGTGCGTAATCGCGTATGTATTGCGCGTTGTATAAACGTGCGTGCGTGTGTGCGTGCGTGCATGCGTGAGTGCGTGCGTGTGCACGTACACGTGCGTGCGTGCATGCGTGCGTCCGTGTATGTGCACGTACACGTGCGTGCGTGTGTGCGCGCGTGTGCATGTGCACGTAGACGTGCGTGCGTGCGCACGTACACGTGCGTGCATGCGTGCGTGTGCACGTACACGTGCGTGCATGAGTGGGCACGTACACGTGCGCGTGTGTGCGTGCGTTGTGCCACGTACACGTGCGTGCGCGGCGTGTGCCGGTACACGTTCGTGCGTGCGTGCATGCGTGAGTGCGTGCGTGTGCACGTACACGTGCGTGCGTGCATGCGTGCGTCCGTGTGTGTGCACGTACACGTGCGTGCGTGTGTGCACGTACACGTGTGTGCATGCGTGTGCACGTATACGTGGTGCGTGCGTGTGCACGTATACGTGCGTGCGTGCGTGTGCACGTATACGTGCGTGCGTGTGTGTGCACGTATACGTGCGTGCGTGCGTGCGTACGTGCGTGTGCACGTAGACGTGCGTGTGTGCGCGCGTGTGTGCATGTGCACGTAGACGTGCGTGCGTGCGTGCGTGCGTGCGTGCGTGTGTACGTACACGTACGTGCGTGCGTGCGTGTGAACTTACACGTGCGTGCATGCGTGCGTGCGTCCGTGTGTGTGTGCACGTACACGTGCGTGCGTGCGTGCGTGCGCGGCGTGTGGCAGGTACACGTGCGTGCATGCGTGCCTGCGTGCGTGTGCACGTACACGTGCGTGCATGCGTGCCTGCGTGCGTGTGCACGTACACGTGCGTGCATGCGTGCCTGCGTGCATGTGCACGTACACGTGCGTGCGCGCGTGTGCCGGTACACGTTCGTGCGTGCGCACGTACGCGTGCGTGCATGCGTGCGTGCGTGCGTCCGTGTGTGTGCACGTACACGTGCGTGCGTGCGTGCGTGTGTGCGCGCGTGTGCATGTGCACGTAGACGTGCGTGCGTGCGTGTGTGTGTGCGCGGTGTGCATGTGCACGTAGACGTGCGTGGCGTGCGTGCGTGTGTACGTACACGTACGTGCGTGCGTGCGTGTGACATTACACGTGCGTGCATGCGTGCGTGCGTCGTGTGTGTGCACGTACACGTGCGTGCGTGCGTGCGTGCGCGCGTGTGCAGGACACGTTCGTGCGTGCGTGCGTGCGTGTGCAGGTACACGTGTGTGCGTGTGTGCGTGCGTTCGTGCGTGCGTGCGTGGTAAGGCCCCGTGTAGACGCTTAACTCAAGTTAAGCGTCGTCGTGTAGACGAGGCTATATATATATATATACTTGCATAAAATGACGGGAGACCTTAACCGGTGTATAATTTAGACTTGAACAATGTACATGTATACAAGTACCCGCCAGCTTGAATTTTTGCTAATAAAAAAATGAACACTGAAAGGTTTGCCCAACTGTACGTGAAAACTGGTTCCAATTACCACAACAATGTGATATATACACCGTAAAATGTCAGGGAGAAACCGGTGTGTTTGCATTGTCACTCGGTGGTCTGCAATTACACTCTGTGTGCAGACGTGGGAAATGCGGCAAATACGCGCAGACAACTGACAGACATACCTAATACTAATTTTACACTAATAATTTTTTTTAATAATCTATGTTTTCTATCACATTTATGTACTATATATCTGCAAATATCTTAATATCAGATTGAGTATAACCTAAAGCAACTCACACGATGATTTGCCTATTTGTGGCCACAGTTAAATTAAAACTAGGTTGGCATTCATTATCTACTTTAGTCTTTAATTCAGTTTGATTTGATCGTAACTTTGGAAGGTACGTTTCACAGCAACACAGATTCCACCAACGGCTACACTAACTATCCACTTTCCTACCTGCAGGCTACATCATATCTGATCATATCAGTAAATTCTGTGAGTATGAATAAAGCACAGCAAATGATGCGTCAGTGAGTTAATGTTACACTGATCTGCTGACACTATCATGCATGCTCTTCATTTCATGAATTAAAACATGAAGACCACCAAAAAACACAACTTGTTCTTTAACCCATTCGATTCACACTCGGGCTGTAAAATCTCTAACAGTATCAATGTATGGTAACTTAAGTAGTCCTTGGTATGCAAGCATCATGAAAATCACTCAACTCGTGTGCATCCACAACTCAGCCTTTATCCCTAATCAGCTTCGCTCCAGTATTATAATTGATGGTACGTATTATAATACTGTGGTTTTCGCACGTGCCTATGTCTTAACAAGAATGTTATAATAGATCTGTCGTTCCTTTCTTCTTTCTTGGAAATTGCGAGTTCTGGAGAGAGACTGTACATAGCAACCTTACCACGTGGAACGTGGCACACGTACAGCACACATGAATGCAGGCGCACATGCACACACGCACGCACACACACATGCACGCACATACACATGCACGCACATACACACACCATTCGCACATGAATGTGCACGCACGCACACAACACACACACAAACATACACACACACGCACGCACGCACGCACGCACGCACGCACACACACACACACACATTCGCACATGTGCACAACGTATATATACACATACACGCAACAGACGCACGCACGCACGCACGCACGCACGCACGCACGAACGCACGCACGCACACACACGCACACACACACTCACGCAGGCGCGCACACACACACACACACACACACACACAACACCACACGCACACCTACAAATGCATGTATGTGCGGCGTGCACGCCGGACGCCCACACTACACCCTCGCCCCGTGACGCGTGCATGACTCACCGTTCTGTGGCTGGCTTCGCTGGCGGCGCTCTGTGCACTGCGCTGACTCGTCGCCGACGTGCTCCTACTCGACACCGTGTAGTACTCGTACGCCACCTGGCGTGGTCGGATCCTCCGGCACCACGTGTCGGCGCACTTCGCCCGCATGCGCTGCCCTCGTCTACCGCAGGGACGCACGGCCGCCCCGCCGCGGCGCCCCCGCGGACGGGGGTGAGGGGACGCCCGCGCGTGACGGGGCGTGCCGAGCCGGTCACCGTCGCCTCCCTCCTGCTGCACATGCGCGGGCGACCGGTCGAATCCCGGCTAGCGCCGTAGGAGGGCTGCCGATAGTCATGCGCCTGTAGGGGGCGCTCCGCCGAGTGTAGGGGGCGCTCCGCCGAGTGTAACGGGCGCTCCGCCGAGTGTAGGGGGCGCTCCGCCGAGTGTAGGGGGCGCTCCGGCGAGTGTAGGGGGCGCTCCACCGCCTGTAGAGAGTGTTCCACGCTGGGCGACCATCTCGCTGCGATCGATGGAACTCACGTATTCAACGTTCTGATATAGGATGGGTTGAATTCTCTGTGGAGACCGTGCGTTTGGCTCCTGTCTCTGCATACTTTGGCCTTTCCTTCTGTTGCCGCTAACACTGCGGTAAACTGGCTCCTCTCTCGCACTCATCTCAGGCCATTGTTTCCAGTACGTAAAATTATGTGGAATCACATTACTTCTATATCATCCATCCTATAAGAAATCAAAACATTATTAGCAAAAACAACGCAAACATGTTGAGCACTTGTTATCGTTATTGTTGTCTGTATCTGCTAAGGCCAATACAAAACATATGTGTGGTTACCGTTACATGCCGGAAAAAAATAGGGTAGTTACTAGGTAGGTAGGGAAACATTTTATTTTTTTGAAATATTTTATTTCGACATGGTCCGAAATGTGCGTTTGCCTTTTGAAGCAGGAAACTGTCCAATTCACTTTTTTTTTTTTTACTTTAAAGAAAATTGCAATAAAATGTTTAGGTCGCTGGAATAAATAGGGTCGATCGGGAAACCGTAACCACACCTATATTTTGTTTTGGCCTAAGTATATGTATATAATATATATGTTTATTTTGATACGTTGCTGAGCAGATCAAGACAATATTTAATATATATCCAGTCATAAATGCTACTAAGGCGAGTGCATGGAGAACTATGTAGATTCAAGGCAATAAATAATCATGAATTACTAACTCTTACTAGTTTAGAGAAACATGAACATTTGATTAGATATACTTTATTACACCCATCTTATCAAATCATATCAAACACTATGCCAGATATATAGCTCACATGTTATCGAATTGCAAAATAATGCAGCAGAAAAATTTATAATTCTGATAGCTTAATTTGAGAAAGTGAATTTCTATTTATTATATCTATTACAGTACGCATTGAGTAAGAACACAATAATGAAAGTGTCAATGACACTGTAGCTCACCACAAAAAAGGACACAAATGAGTGAGTGAGAACTTCAGAAGAAGTCAGTTTTGTTTTAATTGAGAAACCATCGACGTACATTATAGAAACGAAGAGTATATATGGGAGAACTCCCATTATATACTCTGATAACTATGTGTAATTTTTATGTGAAAATAATAATTAATTTATATATAAATATAATATTTATAAACAAAAATAAATACAAATTGTGATGGTAGATGGCGATATACACGCTTTGATGTTTCTTAGCATAAATCATTATATCATAATAATAATAATATAATAATAATATGTTCATAGCAGGAATTTTGCATTAAAGATATTGTCAATGAAATCTTGTAAAACGAACCAGACGAGTGTGACACCACAGACTGTTTGTTATCTGCGTGTCTATATAATATG